TAATTCATTTATCCATTCATTCAACAATATATTGTAGCTGTTAAGAGTGTGGATTGTGGAGCCAAAAAGCTTAGACTGCAATCTTGACTCTGCTATTAACTAGCTGTGTGAACGACTTATTTGATCTCTTTGCATCTTGGTTTCCTCATCAGTAAAATGGGGCCAAAAACATCGCCTATCTCAAAGGGCTGTTGTGAAGATTAAGTGAAATCATATATGCCGAGTGTTTGGAACAGTGCTTGTCACAGTTCAGTGCTATAAACTATAGTCACTGTTTCAGGTGAAGTACCTCTAAATGTAAACCAATGTGTCCAACTGTTGTTTTTTAAAACTATAATAAATACAGAATGTCCCCAAATTCTGGAAACATAGGGAAAATCATGTACTTCTTTTTCAGATTAACAATTGGATTTATTGCTTAAATTTAGAGATATATCACCTAAAAAGCTGTCTAGAGATTAGAGATTAAAGAAAATTATATTGATATTATTTAAAAATACGTTTTTCTTATGTTTCCCAACCTTTCTGATTTGTTTTCCCTAATTTTTCCCTCTATAATAATTATTAATCACTGAGTATGGACCACGTGTTAGGCACTGTTGAAGATGCTGGCCATAAAATGTCCCTGGCCCTCATGAAAATTACACTTTAGCAGGAAGAGATAGTACATATTCTATTTTATCAAAGATCTGACATAGCGTATATCCTATCTGATAAAGAGATGAGAAATGCTACAGAGAAAAAGAAAATGTGGCTACGACATGTGAGTGTGAAGCAGAGGAGGAGCTGCTTTTCTATAACTAATCTAGACCTAGAAGGACTCTCTAGTAAGGCTTCCTGAGAGGTCCTGAAGGATGGGAGAGAACTATGCAGGTTTCTGGAAAACAGCATTGCAGGCAAAGGGAACAGTAAGTGTAAAGACCAAGAAAGCCAAAAAGTCTTTTTTTCTAAAATATCTTCTATTATACTTCTGTCTTTTTGTTTGTTTTTTTCCCTCTTGATAACCTGTATCTAGAGTAGGCTCCAGATATCAATTACTTGGATCACTACAATTTCTTACGTTCACTTCTCAGTACAGATTTCACACTCTGCCTTCCTCTCTGATTCAACAGATTCATTTTTACTGAACAGTTTTTCTCTTGCTTTTTTATGACTTCCATTTGATAAAAATGTCCTGTCTATGTGCAGGCCTGATGGTGAAAAAATGATTAACATATGGTACATGCCCTAGGAATCTAGTTAAAAAGAGATATATAAAATACATAAAATAAAATATACCATAAAAAGCACCACACTGATATGAATAAAAATTACAGCAATTAATTCTGCCCAATGAGGGAAAGAGTAGTTCGGGGTACAGGGAAGAAAGGATTCTGAACTAGGATTTGAAAACTAAGTAGTTCAACAGACAGATAGCAAGAAAAGAATGTGTCAGGGAAAAGAAACATCTTAAGTACAAGCACAAAGACATGTAAGCAAATATATTAGGGATGATTATTAATACCAATGTGCTAAATTGACTAAGGTAAAAAGAGTAGAAAGGCAAATTGGAAATATGCTCAGGGGCCTGACTTTATCCTGAGGGCCAGCGGTTTCCAAATTTCTTTGGCTGTGCACCCCATCAGTAACAAATTGTGCATGTATCCATTCCCAGCAGATGCACATTTAAGTATAAATTAAATTATACCAAGAGATACTTTTCTATATCACATTTGTTAGAGAATAAACACAATAAGATAAATATGAAATATTCCCCCAATGGAATCTTTTCATTAATATTTACTAATATAGGCTAGAACTGGAGACCATTATCCTAAATGAAGTATCTCAAGAATGGAAAAACGAACACCACATATTCTCACTAATAAGTGGGAGCCAAATGATGGATACACATGGTCATAAAGTGGTATAAAGAAACTAAGAAGAGGGAAGGATGAAAAGGGGTGAGGGATATTGGGTACAAGGTACACTATCCTGGTGACAGGCACACTAAAAGCACTGACTTCAGTATTATACAGTGTATCCATGTAACAAAAACACTTGTACCCTCTTAATATTTTGAAATAATAATTTAAAAATATAGTACTAACGTACTTTGGCCAAAAAAATTTAAACTTTTATACATTAAATGACATCATCAAGAAAGTAAAAAGAACCTACAGAATGTGACAAGATATTTGCAAATCGCCTGATAAGGGTCTTGTATCCAGAATATAAAATGAACTTTTAAAATTCAACAATAGAAAAACCCAGTTAATAATAGGATTTGAATAGACATTTCTCCAAAGACATACAAATTGCCAGGAAAGACATGCAAAGATGTTCAATATCATTCATCTTGAGGGAAATGTAAATCAAAACCACATGAGATACCACTTCACATCCAGTAGGATAGTTATAATCCAAAAAAAGAGACAATAAAGTATTGGCAAGGATACAGACAAACTGGAAACCTCTTACATTGCTGGTGATGTAATGTAAAAAGGAATGTAAAATGGCACAGCCACTATAGAAAAGTTTAGCAGTTCCTCAGAAAGTTAAACACTGAATTAGCATATGATCCAATAATTCCACTCCTAAGTATATACCCAAATGAATTGAAAGCCAATATTTGAGCTGATACTTGTACTTCAATGTTCATTGCAGCACTATTCACAATAGCTAAAAGGTAGAAACAACTCAAGAGTCCATTAACAGATCTTTTTAAATGTGGCATGTACATACAATAAAATATTATTTAGCCAAAAAACATACAAAGTTCTGATACATCCTATAACATAGATGAACCTTGAGTACATTATGGTAAGTAAAATAAGCCAGATGAAAAGAATACTACATGATTCCACTTACATCAAATAACTAGAACATGTAAATTTAGAGAGACAAAAAGTAGATTACGGGTGGAGTGAGAAAGGGGAGTTACTGCTTAGTGGTTACAGAGTTTCTGTTTTGGGGTGATGAAAAAGTTTTGGAAATATTAACAGATAATGGTGACGGTTGTGCAATATTGTGAATGTAATTAAGGCCACTGAACTGAACAGAAAAGCAAATCTTATCTTTATAAATTGTATTACAAGTTTTAAAAATTATGTGAGGGCAGGCATGATGGCTCACACCTATAATCCTAGCACTTTGGGAGGCCAAGGTGAGAGGATCACTTGAGGCCTGAAGTTCAAGACCAGCCTGAGCAACACAGCAAGACCCCATCTCTACAAAAAATTTTTTTAAACTAGCTGGGTGTGGTGGTACACCTGTAGTCCCAGCTACTTGGGAGGGTGAGGCAGGAGGATCACTTGAGCACAAGAATTTGAGGTAACAGTGAGCTATGATCGCACCACTGCACTCTAGCCTGGGCAACAGAGTGAGACCCTGTCTCAAAGGAAAAAAAATTATAATGTGTTATACATAAAACCATATAATTGTACACTTTAAATGGGTGAATTTTGTGGTATGTGAATTATATCACAATAAAGCTGTTTTAAAAGGGGAGGGGGAGAAATGAGCTCTCAAAGTATGAAAAGACCTGGAGAAATCTCAAAGGCATATTTTTAAGTGAAAATAACCAGTTTGAAAAAGCTACATACTTTATGATTCCAATTTTATGACACCCAGAAAATGCAAAACTATGGAGACAGCAAAAAGATCAGCAGTCCAGGGATTTGGGGGAGGGGTAAACAGATGAATAAGTGGAGCACAGGGCATTTTTAGAGCACCGAAATGATTCTGTATGATACCAAATGGTGGAACCATGACAAGCGTTTTTAAAAACCCATAGAACTGTATAACACAAAGAATGAATCCTAATGTAAAATATGAACTTTAGTTAATAATAGTTTATCAATATTTGTTCAATTGTAACAAATGTACCATGCTTATGCAAGATGTTATTAATAGAAGAAATTGTGTATGGGTGGGGAGGGGTATGGGGAACTCTGTACTTTCTGCATAATTTTTCTGTAAACCTAAAAATGCCCTAAAAAAAGGTCTATTTTTAAAATGCATACTTAACAGAGACTGTACTAAATTTTATCCTCTTTTCATGATTCATAAGACTATTCATTTTAAACACAAATTATCATTTTACAGTAGATGAAGTGCTAATTCTTTTACCACTGTAGAATATCAGGCACTACTGAATCATCTCAGTATTCTACATATCCTTTCCCTACTTCATCTCCTCTTCCACCCCTGAAAAAATTATTTTATGACCTAAATTTTTATATTCATATAACTACTTCCATCTAGTCTTTGAAGATTCCATCATCTTTGGAAATACTTCCTTAATTTATGACTAAATTCCAGTTTAATTATAATTATGAATTACAGTGAATTATTATGCCAAAGTGCCATACCTCCTGTTTTATTTCCTTTATTCATTTTCTAAAGATATCATTTTTATCAGGAATCTATGTTAGTTTTACACAACCCTTTTTAAAAAAATACGTTGTTCTCTAAGGCAGCGGTCCCCAAACTTTTTGGCACCAGGGACCAGTTTCATGGAAGACAATTTTTCCACAGAAGGAGTGGGGTGAGGGGGGTGGAGCTCAGGCAGCGATGCAAGCAATGGGGAGGGGGTGGCTGTGAATACAGATGAGGCTTCCCTGGCCCACTCACCTCCTGCTACGCACCACTCCCAGCCCCACCACCCACTCCGCACCAAGTTTCATGAAAGATAATTTTTCCACAGACTTGGCGGCAGGGCTCTGCAGCCCAGTCCCTAAGAGGCTGAGACTAGGGTTTGGGGACTGCAGCTCTGAAACACTGAAGACTCGACACAGAGGATTAAACTAGATACTATAACTGTCCCAGAAGAAAGATATCTAGTACACTAAAGAAGAACTCGGAAGACAGAGCACCTCCAGTCCACGACATGCTAGAGACTGTCTCTTCCTGGTTTGCAAAAGAAAATTTAAAAAGAGAATACTTCGTAGTTCCTGATTTAAAATGAACCCCATTCCTAATCTTTATTGACACATTGTATAAACGTCTTTAATTGTTACCTTGGTCTTTTCCAGCTTCATCTATGTGTTGAAAATCTTTTAGTGTTTGAAGGTTACAGAACCCCTCTCGGCAATGCTGAATGACTTTTTTTGATCCATTCTTGATGAGATAATCCATTAGCGTAAGGGACTTATACACATGGCGCCAGTTCTTCCCATGGTCACTGAGTCTCTGCCATAGCATATTCATAATCTCTGAGAGAGAAATTGTGTTGAAAGTCAAGTCACTGATATCTAACATCAGAGAACTAGAGGGACCCCAAGGGTCGTTAGAAGTTGCTTCCCTGACTTTTATTTCAGCATCTGAGTAATTTTTCACAAAGTTTTTCACTTGCCTCCTGAATGCCATAGGTAAGACAAGTTTGAAGGTAGGATGGAGGATAAGAGTAATGGAACAGCAGTTTATGTGATTAGTTTATAAAACTCTTGACAGGTAATTGGTCCCCAGTTCTGCTGCTCCAAAATACAAATGATTAATCTTCATGTTGATAAAGTGACAATTTCCTGCAAGGAAAGCACACAAAAAAATGTGTCAGTTAAACATTTTTTAAATGTCTATAGAAGACCAAATCAGTCTGTAAATCTAGGTTTAGTTTCTAAGTCAGCCCCTCACTTGTAACAGCCATATACAAGTGGTACCACATAAATAAATGTTCCTAGGATGGGTACAGGAAAATCCCTCATAAGAGACTGGCCTATATTATTTAAAGAAATACAGGTGGTCTTTCTAGTCCTAAAAGTTCCTGCAGAAAATACCATTCAACCTACTTGACCAGAAATATAATGAGTATAAAGCATTACATAGACAGTGGACAAGTTAGTATAAAAATGGAACTTGCACTCTGACATCTCCATATCGTCATGTATAAAAATATTACATCATAAAAGTCATTAAAATGAGGGCAAAAATCTAGGCTTAGAATCAAGTTACTCTATGATTGTATTCTTTTTAGAACTACAAGTCATTAGAATCAGATCTAAATATGGTCCACTTTCTTGTTGATCTAAAAGAAAGGATGGTCAAATACAAAGATAAATAGTCACATCTCAATGGACTCCACAGCTAACTCATAGTACCCTAAAGCCAATATTTTAGTTCAAATAAGGCTGGGAAATTTGAAAGGAAGGTTAAATTACTTTCTTTACTCACCTTCAGAAAAGTACAAGTTTAGAATTAAACACTGTCAATAGTTAAGATTCAAATAGAGTAAGGATTCCTCCAAAACCTGGAGTGATCAGCATGTGTCTGTCAGATCTCAAAGTAAGTACAAAGAGAGGCCCTTTTAAGTTGATACAAAAATACATTAAAACTTAAAAGGGGTATGAAAGTCTTAAAACTTTACATGATGCTTGTGAATTATCAATTCACAGTTTGTATGAAAGCATTCTCTTCCACTTTTTCATTACTTTGCATTAAGGTGAGCCTGTTAGTTTGCAATTTCCCTAGTGAGTCACCATTGATGGCCACTAAAATAATGTATCAAATTGATTTCAAGCCCTGACAAGCATCCAGACCCAATGAAGCCTAGATGATCTATAATCAAATTTTACTAGAAAAACTGCACACATGCAAAAGAAAAAGGTTAAAATCCATAACAAATGTGTTCGTTATTTTTAGTTTTGTTTCTCTTGACCTTCTCAGCTACTAGCTCAGGCTTGATTAATTTCTGTGTGTGTGTTAAAGGAAGACATAAATTTTCAAAAGCATTCTAAATGAACTATCACTTTTTTAAAAAAAAATAAGAGGAGATAATTAACCTCTTTTTTTTGTAAAAATACAATACACCCTTAAATAAGCAAGAGAGAAAATTTATTGGCTTAATTAAGATTTCTCAGATAGAGACTATTATCAACCCTGGGAAGAAAAAGAGAAGCTGTATTTCTACAATTTTCTGATTTTCTTATTTGCACTTCAAATACAGGCATTTTTATCTGACTCCCTCCTACAGCAAAAATCTGATTTAGATTGTTTCAATAAGCTATTAAAATTTTCAATCATGAGGGTTTTCTTTTTCTATTGTCCTTTTTTCCCCTCTGCTAAACCCACTCAATGTAGAGATGCACTATGACATTGACTTAGAGCAACAAATATTGATCTGTTGCTACACGAGTCCATTAAAAAAAAAAAAAACCCTGTTAGAATCATAACTTGCTGGAATTAAACAACAGACATTAAAACCGTTTTCCTTTTTTGGACAGCTACCTATCTATATTTTAGACAATCCTAATTTTAGATGTTCCTATATTCTCTAACCTGCATTTTAAAATTTCTAAAAAATGTTTCCTTAAATGAATTTTCTGCCCCAGAAAAATATCAAAATAATAGACTTCTAATCCAATCTAGTAGCTTAAGATGGGATGTGCTTGATACCATACCAAAATTAAATATACTCTAACCAGTAGAAAAATCACAAAAAATCTGGATAAGTGAATTAATACCACTAATGTACAGTCATTTGAACTTTACTTTGTGACATGAACATGGAATTTGTGAGACACCATTCTACTATCAATTTCTTTTCAGACTAACAAGGAGTTCAATTAATTGGTGTAAGTTGTAAGTTATTATGTAGGTTTATTATGTATTTTAGACACCTGACTACATGCAAATGCTCAGTTTACTCACACCAATGAATAACTTTGAGATAGTAATTACAGTGACATGATACCTGAGATAAAATTAGTGCCCAAAAAGTTAATTTCCACATCTGAATCTCAGTTTTCAACCTACCCCAATCACAGCGATATTCAGAAATAGAGGGAAGAAGATATTTCAGGTCACAAATCTGAGAATTCTTCACTAACCTTGCTAACTATTAATACTTAGATCTTCCCATCCACACTCTTTTCAGTACCAGATCAATTTCCTTCATGGCACTTACAATGATCTGTACTTATTATGTATTTGTCATTTGCTTAACCCTTATTCATGGCCAGACTAGAAGCTCCTTCAGGGCAGGGACCTTGACCATCTTATTTACCACTGTAATCCTATGCCTAAGAGGTACCTAGCCACAGTAGGTATTCAAGAAACATATGTTGAGTGACCAAATGACTGAATGATTCTGCTTTGGGGTAAACTGCACGGATTTTACAGCTTTAGAATTATAAACATGACGTTCAAAAAATAAAATCTAGCTCTTGTAACTGTCAAGTAAAACTCTAGAGTTTGGAGCAAATATTTTCAAATCAATCATCATATATTTCTTGAGTACCTATCATTTACACAGCTTTGTAGAAAAATATAAAACATGACCCCCACATTCAAAAAACTTACCATTTAGTTAAGGGGCTTTCTCCCTTAAATAATTCCAGGGCAAATAAATCATGAGGTAGAAAAGATCTCTTGGTTTTCTTTTTAGATCTGCCCATTTCCACAATGCTGTCTTTCCTTCCCATCTTATCTGAAATCATTTGGGTTATCAGGTGACATTAAACTAGTTCACAATCTCTTATCCAAATACTTTGAGACCAGTTGAGTTGTGGAATTCGATTTTTTTTTTTAATTTTTAAGAGTAGTGCAGTGCCTATGTCATATATTATATGATACCCACAGTAAGGTGTGGGGCCACTCTGACCAATCAAATACATTAACATGTACATATTTAGAATAAATACTATATAAATGGGCCAGGCAAGGTGGCTTATGCCTATAATCCTAGCACTTTGGGAGGCTGAGGTGAGAGGATTCGTTGACACCAGGAGATGGAGACGAGCCTGAGCAACAGTGAGACCCTGTCTCTACAAAAAAATTTAAAAATTAGCTAGGTGTGGTGGGGTGTGCCTGTAGTCCCAGCTACTCAGTAGGCTGAAGTAGGAGGATGGCTTGAACTCAGGAGTTTGAGGTTGCTGTGAGCTGTGATGACCCCACTGCACTCTAGCCCTGGCAAGAGAGAGACCCTGTCTCAAAAACAAACAAACCAAAACAAAACAAAAAAGACTATATAAATGGCCTAACTGAAGTTCAGGTCAGGTTTGACACCAAATGAGTTGGGGGGAGGGGGAATGGTTTTCAAAGCTTTTTGGATTTCAGAATTGAGGAGCTGAATTGACTTTATCCAAAGACTTAAGACAATAATGATAATAGTATCTAAGTGGCTGAAGGCCCAGAGCCATCTCTGGAAAGATGTATTTAGGGTGGAGCTACAAAGAGACAGCTGCTCTTGTATTTGCACATGTTCTGACTAATAGGCATGAGTTCCACTCAGGAAGAAATAAGATCTGGCCAAGATTGTTACAAGGGAATGATTATAGAGAATACCATGGAATTAGGAGGTGTTACTGTTGTGATAGAAAGAACACCGCAAGAGGCATAGAAACTAACCTTTTTGAGCCCGATCTGTGTGTTCATTAATTCATTCAACTAATAATTTTCCAGAGCTTGCCATGTGGCAGGCTCCATTCTAGGAAATGGAGAAACAGGCACACAAGGCACAATCCCTGTCCCCTGGAGTAAATGGCTACTCTTTATTAAATGCTCACACCTGGGCATTCACATGCCTCATCTCACTACTTTCATTAGGATTCGAAGCCACGGATTTGAGGTCCTGCTCTGCCATTTCCTAAGGCTTAACAACTTCTCTGAGCATGGAATAATCGCCAGATAGGGCCGTGGGGAAGAAGAAACGAGATGCTTCGTAAAGAATTTTGACAATGGAGGGTGGTGGCTGGGAGAGAATCAACTTTCTGTAGACAGGGTCTTCCCTGTCACGTCATTCATTTGGCCACCATTTCCGAATGGCCACTGTGTACCAGGGTGTGCCCAGTGCCCGGCGCTGGGTCAGAGAATCATACCCGCGACCACCCTCAGAGTACGCACTTTACTGTGAAGGGAGATACTGGCCCGCGGGGAAGCTTCTAGAAGGAGGGACAGGGCAGCGTCACAAAGCAAGGATTTTCCCTCAGGCCGACCGTGCGGACCAGGCTGTGCCGGCAGGGAAAAGAAGAGCCCCGCTCCATGCCCACCCCCAATCCCAAACAGAGGCTATTACCTGACAGGAAGGTCCAGCCCCTGAGCAGGCGCCCTTTCCCACTCAAATTCAACCCTCTCTGTCTCAAGGCTGTTCCGTCTCCTCGAGGCAGGCCCAAGCGCCACGCCCTTGTCCGCGTGGCTTCCTCACTTCCGCTTCCTCACTTCCGGCCCCTGGTGCGCGCCTGCCCGGCCCTCAGGCAAGATGGAGGGAGCTGGGGTTAAAATGTCCCAGCTGGAAGATATCCACAGAATGAAGGCAAGTGTCATTTTACACTCTGTTAGGCTGTGACACTACGCTAATCCTCCTTTCAAAGAATAAATGTTTACAAGAGTGTTACTGCCGTAAGTTTAAGAGACTAGAAGCACCGCCGACACCTGATTGCCACCCCAAAGGATAAAGAACGTAGCAGTAGTCTAGCGATAAAGAGCAGTGCGTGTGGTGGGCAGTGATGGAGTACTTCCAATGACAGCTTCGGGTACCACTGACGTGTAGTCCTTGATATATTCAGCTGATCTTCAGCGAGCACCACTTGTGCCACGCAGTAAGGACCCAGAGATAAAACACAGCCCAATGCTAGGTAAGTTTACAGGCTAGCGGAGGTGACAGGCACCATCACAGAAGATTGTGACAAGATATGTATAGCCTAATAAGAGAGGAGAGAGCATCTGATTCTGCCAAGGAGTATTTAAGGGCAGGTTTCACAGCAGAGTTTACATCTGAATTGAGTCTTAAAGGATGACAGGGAGTTCACTGGATAGACAAAGTAGAGGAGGACATTGGAGGCAAAGGACATAGCATGTGTAAAGACATGAAAGCTGAGAAAGCCTATTACCTTGGCAAAGCTACAAGTACTGTAGTTACCATGGTTGTCACAAAGCCTATTAGTGGAGGAGCAGAGGGAGATAATGTGGCAGAGAGAAGTCAGATCATGAAGAACCATGTCCATACTAGTAGGTGATTGTATCCAGTAGGCATTGAAAATATAATCAAACCCATGTTTTAAAAAGCATGTCGGTGGCCAAGTGGAATATTAACTAGGATGGGTGTTGGGGGGAGACTTAAAGAATAGGAAAATGTTTAACAGATAAAGTAACGTTTCTTTTGAGCTCCTACTAATTCAGTCATAATAATAGCCCACATTATTGGCACTGACATGTAGATAAGTAAGTACAATATAAAATGATAGGAAGTATGAAAGAAGTTGGTGTGTTTGCAATATTGTTTAGCTGGCTATAATATAGAGTAATGGGGGTGGTAGCTGGAGGGAAATTGAAAAGGTGACCTGGAAAACAGATTGTTCAGGGCCTTGAATGCCATGCTAAAGTATTTGGACTATAAAGTAGTGGAAGGATAAACAAGTATTTTGTACATTGAATTATAGTTTATGAAGATTTTTTATATGTGTCTTATATACATTTCAAAGGCATGCTGTAAATTAGGCATTCTTATCCCATTTCACAGATGAGAAAGCTAAGTTTGGGTAATATGCATTCATTGTACATTACTGCGCACCTGCCATGTGCCAGGCACTATGCTAAATTCTGCGAATACAAAGAAGTTTTAGTCTAACAGTGTAATAGAGGAAACAGGAATAAATCAGCAATTATAATAAGTTGCCATAATAAAGACAGGCATGGGGTGTTATGAGAGTAGGAAGGGGACTTGTCTAAATCTACATAGTCAGGGGAGTCTTCCTGGAGGAGGTGAGCTTGAGCTGAGTTTGTAGGAACAGAGAGGTTACCAAGAATTGGCCAGAAATATTTAACTAAGCAAGCAATTTAGCTGAGACTTAACATAAATCTCCTGTGTCCAATTCTATGCTATTTTCCCTACTCTAAGGACCAATCTTTCTTCCTTGATTTTGACCTTCAGGGACATTCTCAGTCACAAGTCTCCCTGTTATATTTTGAGAAGGTCAAAGACTCCAGATTTTCCTTTTTAAATCTATTCATTTTCTCCTTTTAGAATGAGTTTCTGCAAGTGTTTGAATAACAGATTGAAAGCAGAACAGAGGAACTGGAAGAGGAACAGAATGTTATGATAGTTCTGGCAATAAGTGATAAAGGCCACAGCTAAAGCAGAAGTAATGGGCATGCCATGATACCCCACCCTGCTCACTCTCCTTTTACACATATACTTTTACATATAATGTTAAAGTGTAGAAGTTACAGGACTTGACCCCAAATATATGTGGGAGTAAAGGAGAAAGAACAGTCTACAGTGACTGTCAAGTTTCTTTTTTGGGTGACCACATAAATTGTTGCTGTTCACCAAGATGAGGAATATGGTCTGAGGAGCAGGTTTGGCAGGAAAGATAGTAAATCTTGTCTTAAACATTTTGAATACGAGGAGCCTGGGGGGACAACAAGGTGAAGATGTCCCAGACAATTGAGTAGAGAGAAGTCGAACAAAGGACAGGGGATTGGGCTAGGTTCACGGCCTTGAGAGTAGTCAGCATATAGAAGGTGATTGAAGAGGCAGATGGAAATACGAACAGAGCAGGGTCAAAGACTCAGTCCAAATAAGCAGTGAGGGAGTTAGCAAGGTTCTGCAAAAGTGTAAAGTATTACTAACCTAGTGAAATTAACCCTGTTAACGTGACATTACGTAAAGGGTCTTTCTTATCTGCTTTCCTCCATTTGGGGGCACAATTTAGTTGTAATACTGTAGCATGCACTAAATACAAATATTGTTCTATGATCATAGCTTGTGGGGTTTTTTTTCCTTTAATTTTTTGAACTTAGGAGTTTTATTAATATAAAAGTGAACAAAGTTTGCTTCACCTGATTTTTAGGATACCATGTCTCCTTCATTTCTTCTCAATTCTATGACTTCTCAACTTTGGAGGGATCTATTCTCCAACCTCTTGTCTTCTCTATCCATATTCATTCCCAAGGTGATGTTATCCAGTCTCATAGCTTTAAACACACTTCGATTCCAAGAACTCTCAAGGTTTTGTCTTCAGCCCTAACCTCTCCTGACCTCCAAATTCACATATCTAGCACCTTGGCCTCCATACTGGCATTCTCGTGGACATCTCAAATTCAATATGTCCTGATCCCGTCTTCCAAATCTGCTTTCCCACAGCCTCTCTGGTCTCAGGAAATGACACGCCCTTGGTTCTAGTTTCTCAGGCTGTGAATCTTGGAGCCATCTTTGACTCCCCGCTTTGTCTTTCCTACCTCACATCATATCCATCAGCTTACCTTTGAAATATAGGGTGGCTACCAAGTCTTGTCAATTGATGCTGCATTCCAATACACAATACAATAACATCATATTCTAGACTTTATCATCACCTTACATGTTCCTCTGCCACCCTCTTCTAAGCTACCACCATCTCTTACCTGGACTGTTGCAGTCACCTGGTCTCCCCGCTTCTGTTCTTGCTCCCTTACAATCTAATTTCAACAGAAGAGTCATAGCTATCCTTTTGACACTTAAAACCCAAGTCAGAGCATACCACTCCCCAGTTCAGAATCTTTTATTGGTTCCCATCTCACAATAAAATCCAAAGGCCTTGCCATGGCCAGCAAGGCCCTGTATGTTTGGCTCCCTCTCTGACCTCCATCCTAACTCCTCTCCCTCTCCCTCAGGGTGTCAAGTGAGTTCCCACCTCAAGGTGTTGCACCTGCTGGTCTCTATGCCTGCAAAAGCTATTTCCCCAGATAGCCACTGGGTTGGCTCCCTCACTTTGTTCTGGACTTTGCACAAATGTCCTTTGATCTCCCAACATAAAATCACAACCCCCATCTCAGCCACACTCCCTATGATTCCTGAGCCATTTCATTTTTCTCCACAACAGTACAACCATCTGACATACTTAGTGTTTTTCCCTTTACCAGAATGTAAGGTCCAAGAGGGCAGAGGCTATGTTTTGTTCACTGATACATTTCCAGCACCTAGAACAGGCCTAACACAGAGTAAGTGTTCAAACTTTATTTATTGAATGAATGAAAAGAAAATATCTGTATCCACACTATTGAATCAGAAGTACATGTCTTACCATAAAGTAAATTAAGCATAATTATGTATAAGAAGTTCAGATGTTAACAACTATCCTTTGAAAACAATGGCTAAAAATTTTTAAACAAAAAAAATTCTGCATGGTAAGTCCAGATTTCACGTCTTCCAGAATCCTACCATCTTGCTGCCGTTTTGCTGGGTATCCCATGCTGGTGAGGACAGCAACGCTGGCATTCTCCTATTGGGGTCTTTATTCTTAGGCTCTGCCTTTGCACTCGTTCAATTGCAGAGCTTTATAAAATCAACAACCACTCAAGTGGCCTTGCTTCCCTCCCAGTGTGCTCTGTAACACGCCTGCCCGTCAGTACTTACTACCAAAATAGCTTCTTTTCGAGACTTCCCTGTTCTGTACTCTGCCTCTTGCTTGTAAAGGGAGGGATTATATTCTCCTCCCCAGGTGGGTAATGTCCTGTGGGAAAGTAGCTTCCCCCTTAGGGTACAAGCTAAAAACGCCATACTTTCTGTATTACACCACTGAACATTTTCCCTTCCCTACCCGCTCCCCAGCCATGGGATTTTAGGAACTCACTGTTTAACCACCTCAAAACCACTGACTTGGGAGCTATTGAAGAGTAAAGGCTGTGGCCAAAGGATTATATGTTTGGAAACTTGTCCATGGAGCTGTTCCATGTAATGATGGGATCCAAGAAGGTCCTTGGACCATGAAGGCTGAGGACCTCTAAGAGCAAAATTGAGATGTTATTGTTTTAAAACCAGCAACATGTTGTTATTTTTTAATTTTTATCTTTATAACGTGTGGAAAGAGTGAGGATCCTGTTCAGATGTAACTTGGACTTAAGAAAATTTAACAAACTTGCATTAATAAAAGCCTATTATTGAGGAGTTAGGAGTAGGAATTTATTTCCTTTAACTCATCTGACAGTTATTTACTGAGCACCTTATATGACCAAGATACTGGGCTGATTCAATGCCAGGTTCTTTTTTATTTCAATAAAAACATTGAGTAATTATAACCAAGGAAAAGGTTTTAAAAAGGAAAGTAAATTTTGAGCAAGATTTGGATATAAAGGGGCAAAAAGATAGAAAAGGATGCCATTTCACATTGCAGAATAAGTCTAATTTTTTTTTTTTTTTTTGAGACAGAGTCTTGCTCTGTCACCCAGGCTAGAGTGCCATGGCGTCAGCCTAGTTGCAACCTCATACTCCTGGGTGCAAGCAATCCTTCTGCCTCAGCCTCCAGAGTAGCTGGGACTATAGGTGCGTGTCACCACACCCAGCTAATTTTTCTATTTTTTTGTAGAGGTGGGGTATCACTCTTGCTCAGGCTGGTCTCGAACTGCTGGACTCAAGCGGTTCCTCCCACCTCAGCCTCCCAGAGTGCTAGGATTACAGTCATGAACCACCATGCCCAGCCTAAGTTTGAATTTTAGAACCCCAAATTGAGTCTTTTTTTTTTTTTTTTTTTTGAGACAGAGTTTTGCTTTGTTGCCCAGGCAAGAGTGAGTGCCATGGCGTCAGCCTAGCTCACAGCAACCTCAAACTTCTGGGCTCAAGCAATCCTGCTGCCTCAGCCTCCCGAGTAGCTGGGAC